AAAACAAAAAAAAAAAACCTGTTACATATGTACCTTTGTCAGTACTGATGAATAAATGCTACAAGTTTCAATGCTGATAGCATAGTAATAAGTGAACTAGATACTTTTCACAGATAGTTTTGACACATGGTATACATGCCCACACAAGATTAGGTAAACTGCAACAAGAAAAAGTATTACAATCCTGAGGGTCCTGTCCTCTTGTCCTAAATCCTGTACTAAAGAGAGATTTCAAATGAGTACTGCCACTCTGTAACAGGCATAATCTTTTTTTTTTTTTTTTTTTTTTGTACAAAAACGTGGTCTTCTGTGTTGCAGTTTAAAGAAAAATACTACAATATTTGGTGCTGTTTTCAAAACACAAGAGTACACCAGACCCTCTCAATCTGGTTTTCTAAAGTTATGCCTGAGACAAATGCAAGGAGAGATTCAGGTGAAACCTTAAAATTCTTTGACTACTGTTTTCATATCCTCAAATTCAAGCTTCTTATTGATGACTGAATTATGAGTACTACCCCTATTATTACACATAGGTATTTTCTCATTGACTTCAGGGAAAAAAAAAAAAAAGGATAGTTCCTAAGTGAGTTCATCTTAACTATTTTAGAGGCTCCAACAGAAATGTCTGCTATYGAAACAGGTCAAATATTTCATTTCTAGCCCGTTACAGGTAATATGTCTGTAATTGTGGCATCAATCCACAGAAAGAGCTCACTTCAAGTACTAGTGAATTTTCAACTGTTTCAAAGTTTAGGAATCCTACTTTACAAATTCACTATTTGTGATGAGCATGTATGCAGAGTTCATGCCTTCATTTCCATAAAGTTTCAAACTGTATTACCTTTCAAATAAAAGATAGGCAGGAGATTTAAGTGAGATGCTGGCAGTTTGCATGTGCAGATCCCCAAACATCCGATAATGAAAAATATCTGTGTCACTCATAAAACTTTCATTAACTTGGTAAGCCAGGCTGATGATTCCAACAACCACCTAGTTTTGCACTTTCCACCAGCATACATTTACTTCTAAGAACTCCTAAACAAAGAAAACATACATAATTATAGGGCTAGAAGTTTACACGGTGGCTCACATTTTACTGCCTGCTATATTTTCTCCTATTTTCCTTGCTAATGCTATGATTTGCATCTCAACATCCAAGTATGTGCCCATTATAGGAAGAAAACAAGCTGTACTTTTCTTAATTAACCAGTAGTCCAATAAACCTGCAGAGGTTGGTATTATTTCAGYGTTTTAGAGGAATAGATTAATCAGCAGCCAAGACAAGAATAGAAGAGCCCAGCCCATGCAAAACTGGAAGTAAATCATTGGGCAATGCTTYTTGCATCACCTGATCCTTCAAAACAATTGATGACAGGATGTCTCAGAGATGCCTGTGAACTTTAACAGAGGAGATGGTTAAGGAATTATGCCAGGAGGTAGCACCATGTCCATACCAGGCTCTCCTCACACTGCAATGAAACCAGGCTACCTTAAGCAATCCTTACCACCCATGGGAATTTGATTTCCAGAAATGTGTACGAGTCAACAACAAGTTCTGACAGCTCCAGCCTATGATGAGCATTTTTCCTTGTGGAGTAAGGATCATTTGGCAGGCTTGCTTCGTACATACCGGCAGTCCACTACGCAATTAATTACTTCAGTACTGGGTCATGCCAAATGACACTCCTAAGAGCAATCTAGTGATAGGAACTCAACTGTCAGCAACATCACTGCATCACTTGTGATGCATCAATTATTCTTCAGATGACTAATTATTATTTCTTCTTCAGTAATGTATCTGGTGAGGCACCGGAAGGTCCTGACAAATCCTGAAACTCCAAATCACTCATACATACAGTTTACCATGCATCTCAATACCTTGCATGCACTGTGGTATTTTTATTTCCTCTCTTTTGATATTTATAAATGCTAATCCATTATTATTTGTGAAGAGGTAGAAAGCTTTCAAAATCTTAATTAAAAACTCTAAAAATAATTCCATTTATATGACTCCCCTGAAGACCTTCTCAAAAATCTCGATGACTATYGATAACTCAGGATTTTGTTTTATCAAAGTTTCATCAGCTCTAGTACCAGCTGCCAACAGAGCATTGGGAGTGAGACATGAAAACTTCATAGGACTTTCCCTAATGTTTGTGTGCACACATCACTCGTGTCACTTTGCTTATCCCTGGTATCAACAGGTTGTGTTATCACTATGAGAATTCTTCCCCTTATTTTCTCATTATACAGCTCCTGCCACCTCCATGCRTGTTTTCCTATCATTCCAGGATTTCCTCTCACCTTTCAACAAAGGACTAGGCCATTACAAATTTTCCCAAGTGGAAGAACATTTCCCATACGTAAGTCACTTTCAAAAGCCAAGTTCACTTTTGGTGACAGTCATGGTTTCCCTTTCAGAGAGACCCTTCCTGAAGCTAAATCCAGATTACTTATTAACTTCCCTCTACACACCTCCCTACTTGGTCATCTGCTGTGCRCACGTGGGATATTCCTTGTTTACTCTGCCCTTGTTGACGTCAACTGGCAGGACAACACATGTGACACCAAGTCAGATGTCACTGCTGTCCTGTTGGGAGGACATATCTGTCAGTGAAACAACCTCCGGATTCACACTTCTMAACAAACTTGACAACATCCTTTTCTGCCATTAACCCTCTCCTGGTGTTTTCCACTTTCACAGGACAGGCATGGGGTACCTATCTGCACCCAAAGGGTTAAGTTTCATACTTCCTTAATTCCAGGGTAGGGATGGGTAACAATTCAGAGCTGAATTTCCTCATAGCACCTTTGAAAAACATAGTTTGAGAATCAAACTTCTCCACACTCACTACTCCAAATCAGGCAAATCAGCTGTGGCATAGCATATTGTCACAGGATAATCCATGTACATAGCCATTGTCAGTTAAATGTAAAAAGGAAGAAGACAGTACAGAAGAAATCAAACCACCCTGAGTCCTGTAAACACAGTTATTGCAAATTTAGTTAAGTTCTTTGTACAGCTTAATCTACATTGGAACAGAACTTGGGAAGTAACTATAAGCATCACTCCACTACACAAGTGTTTTCATGTCAGAGAACACTACATCACATCTGGAGTCAAAAGAAAATAAATTGTGAGACCAGTTAWGAGAAATGCTAAATAGTCTGCAGGTTTTGTTTTTTTTATGAAACCTTGGTTGTAGCAAGGTAACAAATCCATAATGAATACTTATTCGTGGTAAATAAGCATAAATTGTTCATGAACTGTACTGCTGATGACAGAAGCACTTGCTTTTTTTTCTGGGAAAAAAACCACAAAACCTCCCAGGCATAAGGGTAAGGCCCCACCTGCAAACTCATTGATGTAATGTTGGAAGTTCATCCTTCAGAAAACCATTACAGCTTGGACAAGGTTGTGTTTACCCTATYTTCATGTAGATTTCCAAGCAGCAGTATTTCCAATGGTCGCATAATATTGAATTTCAAATAATTACACAAAGAGCCTTTATTCCAGAAAAACAAGAAGTTGTTACAAGTATGAAATAAATAACTGTGACTAAAGATAGAATTTTTGAATCTTTTCACAAGAAATTCTGCTCTTAATATATAAAAATGTTTATTAATASAAATCCCCAACAAGTAGCATCATACAGAATGCCAGCATTTACATACAAGAACCTTAGATGTCAAATCAGGTTTTTGAACAGTTTTAGGTAAACACTGGTTTACCGTATTTGATTGCATATAATCTCCTGTATAAAYACAACCTTTAGGTCTCTATTGTTTTAAAATTCATACTTTTAAATTGTTCTTCAAGCACATCAGAATCTTCATCACTGTCTCCATTGATGAAATTTGTATCAAAATCCAGCTCGTCCTTCAAACTACTATTCTCCTGGCCATTTTCAGTAGTCTCAGTGCTGTCCTGTCCTTTGTCAATCCTGCAGAAAGCAATGGGGATGTTATCAACACCCACTTCTGGAATTTAAACAAGTATGGCATGGAGAATAGAATATCCTTCCAACATTCCATCCCTATATAGGACAGAAGATGGCAGGAGGTGGGAAGAAGGAGGTGAGGGACAATAAAAGTCCTTAAAGTTACTTTCACACCAAATAGGAAAGACACAAAAAGATAGTAAAGTAAGCATAAAAAAATTATATACAGAAAAAAGTAAAGTAAGCATAAAAAAATTATATACAGAAAAAACTGTAAAGAAAAAAATACAAATATTTGAATAACCTGACCAACAAAACAATTGCTGGACAGTTGTCCTGATCTAGTAAATTAATGTTTTATCATTTGTCATTACCATTATAATTAATTGAATATGATACATTTATCATATCATGCTCAATAAAGAGCAAACTCTAATAAAAGAATTTTAAAAAAGCCAAAAGCCTACTAAACATACTGTGGTAACTGTGCTCAATCTCAGTCCTTGTTTAGTTCTGCAGTTCACTAGTAACTGAATCATCAAGTGGCAAACAAAACGCAAACAGTAAATTGGTTTATGCATATTTTATGATGCTTTACACTGAAATCTGTTTTGGAGTGCCTAGTTCTTAAGAAATATATACAATAAACCCTGTGGTGTTGAAGTGTCTTATCCAACTAGAACATCTTTTGGCTGAGCCCCACTAACATCAATAGGCATTTCACCCCTAGTTTCATCTGAAGAAAATGAAGAAAATTACTCCCACTGATTTGTGTTGAGATTATTGAGAAATGGCATAAAGTACATCAGCTTCTTGGCAGTTTCCAAACAAGATTTAATAAAAGGGGAATGAACAGTACCCTATGAGCTACTTACGGAATTACTATTTCTTCTTGTTTCCCACATTTAGCACAAATTTCTAGTTTACCAGCACATGGTCGACAAATAATGTGATAAGGATCTTTCACAGTCTTTTGAAGACACTTCACACTGTGAAGAGGAAAAAAAAMCATGATTAAAAAAATATTGTGGGCACTTACTAAACATTCTGTGCTCAAATACAATACAGACACACTCTACAAAAGAAGAACAACATGTTTTAGACTGGTTTCAAATGAAACACTTGACATTTTAACAAGCAGCATCATAAAAATCATTGCTGTTTACCCCCCACCCTTGTCTTTTAAAGGGAGAGTTATTAAAACAAGTATTGAAAAAGAAACATTAAATCAAGATTTTTGTATTTGACAAAAAGAAATGTGTCTATTCATTTCAGTAGGCAGTTTTAATTTCAAAAATTGCATAACTTCTGATTAATAATACAAGTAAAATTCGGTATAAAAAAGAACACGGACTTTAAAATAAAAAGTTTGCAGTTCAAACACTGCAACGACTTCTTGAACTCCTCAAGAGTGTAAACTGAATCAGTGCTAGACTTTGTTTTCTATGAACACAAGCCAGCATGGAACAGTATTCTCAACAAATCCAACCCAATAATGGAGAGGGTTTGGGCTGCTGCTTTTCAACATATAATAAACTCTGTAGATTTAGAAATTTCCAAAATTCTGTGGCTTAACATTCAGCTGGCATTTCTAAAGCTTTGTGCATCTAAAGAACATAGTCCAGAACWATATACCCCATGTAATGCTGCTGTCTTAAAYGTAATTTTCTTGGTTCTCATGTCCTCAAAAATTCTACCAGATATGTCATACCAAACAGTGGTACTACCAATGCAAGGCAGATTTACACTTTTTTTTTTTTTTAATAGTTTAATTTCTAATAATTAAATACCCAAAATAGAATTAGGATAAACTTGTGGTTATACTATCACTCATAATTTTAAAGCTATTAAAAAACTAAAAATAAGGTACAGAGAGAGAAGTCCTCAATTCCCATCTTTYGCAATATAAAGAATTACTTCTGTTTTTAATAGTCACATTTTTAATGTGTATTATGCTTTTACTTCACCCAGAAGCTTCATCTGTTGAAAATTTTCATAGTCTTGTCCTTTCAGAACAGTGGCTTGCCCAGCCACTGCACTGCTGGTCTAGAAATCATCACCTGTAAATCTAGAAATGCTCTGAAGGACTTCTTCGTTGCTCAAAAATATGAAAGATAACATCACATATTCTGTTATAAGCAGATGTTCTACAATGTCACTTTTTCTATTTCCAATGCTTCCCTGATTTACATAGGGTTTTTGCCTGCTTTCTTCCCTTAGGGGAAAAAAAACCAGGATGCACATAGTTATTTGCAAGAGTTAAAAAAACCACAAAACCCAACTTACCCCATGATGCACAGAACCCGGGGCGTTTTATTCAGCAAACCTTCTACCTAATAATTCATGTTTTACATGAAACAGTGAAATTTATTACAAAAACCAAAATACTTGTTGCACTCGTTTGCATATTAAAAAGTAAAACTTCACATGAGTGAAAGATGTAGTATGAATAAACATTTCTCTCCTTTTTGTCTATTGAAAATCAAAATAAAATAAACCAACAACTTGGGGAGCTGCACATACACATTTGCAGAAGCTCTTCAAGCAGTTCTTAAGTATTGCAGAAGCTTGTAACTGAGAGAACACACAGACGCCGAGCAGCTACACTGACAAACCTGGCTGYATGGTGCACCACAGCCCAGCTGTGGTTTCTCTGAGTTAAGTGTTTTGCTGCTGAAACACTGGCTGTGTCTGCAGCCACAGGAGGTAAGGACCTCTACAACTGAGCAAATAAGAAGGAAGCAGAGAGAGGGTCTCTTTCAGAAAAATAAAATAATTTATATGTTGGTGATAAGTTAAAACGTTTATCATCTCATAAGTTAAAGTATTTATCAGAGATAAAAAACTTACACTTACACAAAAGTAATACAGAACTGTATGCAAAGAATGCCAACATTTACTAGTCAGGATTATAGCTCCTTACAGAAAAGGAACAAACATGCTAAGAGGTAATGAAATGGATATATTGCAAACATTTGTGAAGTACAAAAGGCAGGAGATGCGCAGATCCCTCTAACACAGACTTGAAGGGAGGACACACTGAGTCTTGGAAACTTACAGCTTCATAGTTCAACCATTTTTAACAGCAAAGAGGGAAGCATTCGCTTTTCCTCTGTCTTCTTTTCAAAAGTTTAAGATAAAAGACTTATTAATTAGAAACTTAAAACTGCCTATATTGTCATTACAGACTCAAAATACGAAAAATGTTCCATAACAGCAGCTTCTTCTTCTGAGTTTCCAAACCCACAGTCTTTTCCAAAAGCTCACAAACTACACAATCAACAGTTAACACAAAGTATCTAACTCACCATTTTTTAGGTTTTGTCAGCAGCTTGTACTTTCTGAATTTTACTCGCCACTCCAAGATACCTTTGCAATGCTGACACACTCCATCATGAAGCTTAGCATTTATTTTCTGAATAAATAAATAAAAATAAAAATACATTGATGATTTCCTATTGTAATGAGCATAATCTTGTTAGAAAGCATTTTTGTCCATCATATGATCAATACAGTACATATAAATATGTTTTCTTGATACTAACACTAAGCATTTCTTACACACTTATGTCTAGCAATTTTCTTCAACAGAAAGAATACTTTGAGGTTAAAGACTACTTTAATACTATTTATTATGACTATTATTAGTATTATTATTATATTCTTAACAGAATTAACTTATTTATATTATCATATTGTTGATAATAGATTACTAGGTGTTTTATTCTTTTCATCTTCAGAAATTTTAAAAAATTCATCTAAGAAGAAATGAGTCCTGAAGCACACGGGTTTTGTCCAAAGAAGACAACTTACAAGACTTGACATTTAACGTACTATTGGTCACACTATCAGTATATCACACAGTTTAAAGAATCTCAGGATTTTTTCTCAGATAACAATAAAGAAGAATCCACACACTATTTGCAGTCAAATTAAGCAATCACTCTCTAATCCTAGCCTTCCTTTATRAAAAACATTTTTGCTCTCTCATATCTAAGATAAACTCCTTACAATGGTAATTTAAACCATTTTTAAAGCGTATTTTCAAGACAATGCAACAGTAACCTTAAAATCTCCTGCAACATTTGGTGTTTAGCTTTCTCAGAAACACAAAACGTCAACAGGCCAGTTGTATTTGCACAAGAGAAGTTATTCTGAGATGGGAAAAGGTACGAAAGTGCACTCTTACCCCAAATAACAAGCAATATCCTTGTATACTCAACCTAATTTTATTCTTCTCTATCTAAAACCGCCAGCAGTAATATTATCTATCATATGGGTGTTCATATTAATTCAGAAATATAAAAAGAGAAATTTCACAATTAAAAACTGCATGTAATAAAAAATGTATTTTTTAACATAGTTTAGAAATGGCTACCATATCAACATTTCATTATTAAGATGGTTTAAACCACATCTACTTCTTAGCACATCTAAAAGGAGTGATTCTGTACTAATCTGGATTACAGTTTAGGTTATTCTTTCACAAATAAACTGAAAAAATGTTATTCCATTAATATGGTTTCTTCTAAACTAATTTCCTCCTTTTGTGACCCACAAGATTCTTACTAATCCAGAGAAGTCTACCTCAACATGTAAGACAAAAAAACAAACCAAGCTTCAAAAATACAGTATCTTATTCTATTAAAAAAAAATGTATGAGGCAGAGGAAATGCTACTTTCAAGTGAAATTATACTCTGGGACTGTTCCATTGTCTCCTTCTTTATTAAACTTCCACCATTCAGAATGAGTTTTCCCATGGTGTGGTTAACTGAAGGTGTGGTGCTTTCTGACTATTTCAGTTAGAAGAAAATTATTTTCTAAATGATCAGATTTAGACCTGGCATATTAAGAAACCAACCAAATAAGGTTTTGCATACTGCTTGAGTATTGAATACAGACATCTGTGGTTCTGATGCATTACAAATATATTTTCCAAGCAATACAAGCAAWTGGTTAATGTGCAAATTTTCTGAGAGAAGAAAATAATTCGTAAGTTTTCAGCAGGTAACTGTTAAAGGCAATTTTACATCTTGTAATTCAACATCTCACAATTCAAAGTGGTCTGAGCAATGCCTGTGTTCAGTCTTCCAAAATTCATGCAGTTCAAAGCTGAGCCTTCTCTTCAGTGCTTGACCAGCACAAATTAAGGCTCCAAGCAGTATAGCCCACATAACCTTCTAACAACCTGCAAATTAACCTGAACTTCCCAGCTCTGCCCCCCTCACCACTCTCTTGACTTGCATTGATTGGTAAAGCAGGAGGGGAGTAAGACACAAACACTGTAATTTGTATTTCCAGGTGAGAATACATTTATTGTTACCAATTATTTTTAGTTTTGCTAAGGCAGAACCTAGTGAATGTAGAAAGACTGCAGTAGCTTTAGTCAAAGACAGACAGCTGTCTTTCCAAAGAAGCAGTTAGCTTCSTGGATGAAAACTACCTCTTTTACTTTAACACTTCCAGACATCAAGGCTGGGAGCTGGAGTCGGAAGCCGCATTACTGAGTGGTGCAAGGGYGGCTCAGCAACACCTAAAGCACTTGGAATGCAAGAGCCGGTGCTCACAACTGCATGTGGGATACCCAGTATAGAAGAATGAAACAGAAACTACTTCAGAAACCTCTCACATCAAGCAAATCCAAAGTTCATCAGACAGATGCCTACTACAAATTCTGCTAAGTATTTGCTATGGAACAGGGAAATATGCATGGCTATTATTAATGGAGCTTCATAAAGCTCTTCTCCATCCCTACATGTTTACCATCTGTCTCCAGAATAGACAACAATTACACAGTGATGCATTTCTTTTTTCTTTTTTTTAACCAAACTGAAACACTGACCATCCCAAAAGCTGAAGGTGCCAAAGATAAAGAGGCAGTACAGCAGGGCATAGGTAATCCAGGAGGTTCCAGTACACACACATGACAAACTGCCTTTTCTAAGCAACAAGAAGAGGTGCTGTGCTGGAACTTGTTCTCACCAACAAGGAGGGGCTGGTGAATGTGAAGCTTAAGAGGCTGTGGTGACATGGAGCAGTGGAGCTTAAGATCCTTGAGGCAGTGAGGACTGTGGAAACATCACTACCCAGGACTTCAGGAGAGCAGATTTTGGCATCTTCAAGAATCTCCTTAGCAGAGTGCCATGAGACAGGACCTTTGAAGAAAGGGTGGTCAAGAGAGCTGGATGATACCAAAGGGTTGTCTCCTTCAGGTTCAAGAACAATGCATCCGTACAAAGAGGAGATCAAGAAAAAAAAACAGGAGACCTGCATGGATGAACACGGAACTCTGGRAGAAACTTAAAACATAAACAGGTAGCTTACAGAGGGTAGAGACAGGAAAAAGTAGTTTGGGAGAAATACACAGAAATGGTACAAAGAGCCAGGGAGATGGTTAGGAAAGCTTCAGTACCGGCACAAATAAATCTGGCAAAGGACATCAAGGGTAACAAAATAAAGGTTCCTTAGGTGTATCAGCGATAAAGATTCAGGAAAATATTGGTCCTCTCAGGAGGAATACAGGACACAGAAGACCTGTTTACCCAGGACATGGATAAGGCATTTAGACTGYAGGATCAATAGCAAGCAATAGTCATTGGTTGGACCAATGACACCAACCTGTATGATGTGGTCAACACATTGGAGGGAAGGGATGCCATACAAAGGGACCTGGACACGYTTGAGAGGTGAACCTGTGCAACTCTCACTAACAACAAGGCCAAGTACAAGGTCCTGCACCTGGGTTGGGGCAATCCCAAGCACAAAGACAGGGTGGGTGGTAAAACGGACAGAGAACACTCTGAGGAAAAGGACTTTGCAGGTGTTGTTGATGAACAGCCCAACACAAGCTGGCAGCATGCACTGCAGCCCATAAAGCTGGCCAGCAGGGCAAGGGAGGGGATTCTGCCCCTTCATATTGCTCTTGTGAGACTACATAAGCATTCAGCTCTGAGACCTCCTACAAAAGGAAGACATGGATATGTTGGAATAAGTGCAAAGGACAGTCACTAAGCAGATCACAGGACTAGAAGCCTATGAAGGCAGGCTGAGAGTTAGGATTGTTCAGCTTGGAAAAAAGAAAGCACTGGGGAGACCTTAGAACAATGTCTCAGTACCTAAAGAGAGCTACAAGAGAGCTGGAGAGGGACTTTTTGCAAGASGATGAAAGAGGATAAGTTTAGATCAGATCTTAGGAAAACATTTTTTTTACTGTGAGGGTGRTGAGACACTGGAACAGGTGGCCCAGAGAAGCTGTGGATGTCCCATCCCTGGCTGTGTTTAAGRTCAGGCCTCAGATGGGGCTCTCAGCTACCGGGTCTAGAGGGAGGCGTCTCTGCTCATGGACAGAGAGAGTGGAACAAGGTCCCTTTCCATTATATGACTCTTATAATCACATTTATGTATGCCAAAATCACATTCAGCATCCTAATCCAGGCATAAAGTCCAGGCCTGGACTTTTCAACACAGTAGGAACTCAGATCTTACATAGCTAATCAAAGAAATCACATTGCATCTGCTCAGGTCACAAACTGGAAGAAAGACAACAGCTTTGAAGCTCTAATTTCTTCCTCCTAAGAAGAGAGTTCTCCTAAGAAACTGGAAGACAAACTTTTTTTGTTTCTCAATTCCCACTTGGGGAAATCACTAGTAAAATCAAAGAAACCCCTCTTGTATTTACACTTGTATTTACTTTTCCTATCAATATTTACTTTTTAATATATTTTGTATATTATTTAAACATATTTTCATATTTTCTTCCTTTTGCCCATTTAGTAGTTTGCTTTCCCTTAAGGGTATAAAAAAACCCAATAACCCACAAATAGACCTGAACAAGGCTTGTAAACTTAATTATTTCCTTCCAACATTTCTACAGCTTTTATGCAGGTAGTCAGTCCTCACACACAAATAGGAGGTGGTGCTTGTGAAATTAATTTATTGGTGTGAAATTAATTTCTTGGTGTGATAACTACTCCAGCATGTTAAATCATGTTTCTGTCCTGGCAGTTTCCCTGGCAGTTTCTTTATGCTCATTTCCCTGTTTTGGTCAATAGCTCTCTCTTTTCTTTAGCATACTTTGCTCCAAGGACAAGTGTAACTCATACAGTGCTTACAGTATGTTTACAGATTCTCCAGGGAAATCAAAGCTATGCAATATGAACATACCTAAACAGTCKTAAAGTATGAAGCCACAAAATATTTCATGTGCACACTATATGCAGAGTCAGTTGTACATTAMCGAGTCAACGTCCTCTGCTCATGTAACCTAATATTAAGTCACCTAACAACCTGCCAAAAGCAGTTCAGAATGTATTAAAAGTAAATGAATGCACCTACACCTACTAACCTGGCACACAAAATAATCCCCAGCTAAAACTAGCATYAAAGCGCTCACAGGCAAGATGTAATGACAGGGCTTCAAAGAAGCTTCACCATCTGTTTGTAAGCTTCTAATTACGTGTGAACCTACGGGTATTTTGAGTTGCTCTACTGAAAGCAGATCCCTGCTACTGCATCTGTATCAGTGGTCTATTCTGCTGTAAATTAGTGTAATGTTAATGCCACCATAAACTTCCTTGCCAGAAACACAGGTGACGCTGCTTCAATCAAAAAGAATGAATGCAGCACAAGGATTGACTGCAGGACTTCTGAACAAGTGCACTTCTTAGAAAAACAAAACYCCACAGGATCTCAAGCGCAAGACTGCAAAGCAGTTAGAGTAGGTCAGACTGAGAGATGTGAAACCAAGCTACTGGATGACAGGTTTCAGGGTTCTAATGCACATTACACTGAAATTGTAGGCTGAAATCATCCCCCACAGAGCATCACTTGCTTACATCATTCCTTGAAATTCCTTTTTCTACAGGTACTTTCTCATCAAGTATATTTCCAAATCAAACAACATATGGATATAGCATTTAAGAGAGCACTGGAAGGAGTCTCACCATCTCCCCCAGACAGAATGGAAAATACACAAATACACACACACACACACACACACACACACCAAACACAGCTCCTGCACCTACCCACACATTCTTTTTCACTCTCTGCCCCACCTCCAGAGTTAGGTTAGAGTCCAGAGCAGATGTTATATTTGCTCCAATTCTCCCTACATGAAAGGCTACAACTCAAGCCTGAATGTACCTCTGAACCCAGAGTAATGGGAGTGGCTAGCAAGTAGACCTCAGCGTACCAAACTACTCTATGTTGCAGCAAGAACATAATCTAAAAAAAACTGTTATCTAATAATTCCAGTTGGCCACTGGTTTATCTCCCTTCTGTGCTTCAAAACATGATCACTGACTCAGCATTTAAGGTCTACATTCAGCTGTTCTGTTACTAATGCTTTCCCACAGTCTCAACCAGTGTTTCCACTGAAACAAGGGAYTTATCCATGCACCCAGCTAAAAAAGTAACTGACATCAACACTGTGGTAAAGGTGAGGTTCAGAGTTAATAACCCCTGAACTTTAGGGAAATGTGGATTATCATCTTGGGCGTAGCTAATGAAAGAAATGGAGAAACAAATCAGTCATTTGAGTGTAAATATGAATCACTTGTGGTTTACCATCTTACTGCAGTAGAATTCTAAATGCTCTCATTGAATCATATTTGCTTGCATTTCTAGAGCTACTGCAGCTTCCTTGATGACTTATGTAATATACTTTACATAAAATGTATATTCATATAACATAATGYATGTTCATCGGCTTGGTGCTGCAAAGAGGTGTTCTGGAATATATCACATAACGCAAACACCCATAAACAAATTCTAAGAGTGAATAACCAACAAGACATGGCTATCCTGGATGTTCCTCCTTCACATCATCTGAAAATGTAAACTGTACCAGCACTGTTTTAGGCTGTTTCCCAAATACAGTAGAGAAGCAGWGTGCTTTGTTGCAAGCATGTTCCACCTCAACAAGCCTATCTCACAGCAATGCTGTAGGAACGTTGCAGTAAAGACTGATCATTAGAGGAAAGACAAATGGATCTTTCAGCATGTTCTGCAAGTAATCAGGTRTATGGCCTTTAAGATTAGAGAATGGATGACATGCTAAGTGTCTGACAAAAAGCATAAAACAGTTAAAAAAACCACAAACTGGATAACGACTGCCAGCAGAGAAAAGTTAAAATACTATTAGATCAATTTCCTCTGCAGATACTGCTTCACTGAGAGAAGCAGCAATAACACCATAATTAACTACCTCAACTACTCCCACTGTACAACCTGAAGCTATTGCAGGAAATATTCAACATTGCTAATGCAGTGAGCAATTGCAGCAGGATCCAAATTTTAAGCCGATAACAATTTTGCAGCTATTATACTATTTTTCAAGACACTGGAGAGTGTACAACAGTAGATTGGCCAAATACAAACCTCTGCATCCCCATATCTTTAACAGTGATTTGTAGGAGATCCACTCTCAGGAGCTTTAAGTCTTCCTTTGATTTACTGAGCTAATGGGAGGTAGAAAGAAAGTCCCACTCCTGTGGGAAAAGAATTTCTTGTGATAGAATTTCTATGATTTCTTCCTTTTCTTCATCACACCTTGAACATCCCATGAGACATCTGATCATCCAGGACTACACAAGAGAGGCAAAACTGTCATCATTCACTATACTACATCTCTAAACTATGACATTAATCACCACCTAATCTTTGCTAGTCTAAATTCTTTTCAAATTTCACAGACAGCAGAAATAGGCCTAGTCACCACTATAATGACCCCTGTGTATCCCTGCCCTGGGCAAAGACAGGGTTAATTTTTCCAGCAGCCAGAAGGGGCAAGGACACAGGAACCACCTCACCATCATTTTCCWGGAATAGGGAAAGGGTCCCTTCCAGGTGAGGTAGCATGGTGTGGTCTGGTATTGTCAGGRGTCCCTCACAGTGAGCACTTGAATGTGAATCATGTCTTCTACACTKTTGCTGTTACTGTTCATTTTCTTATTTCATTTGCTGTTTCCAGTAAAYTGTCCATATCTCAACCTGTGATCTTCACCTTTTGTGCCTCCAATTCTCCTCTCCAGGGCTATRTAGGGAGAGAGGTAGGGAGAGGGGTGAGTGAGTGGTGCATGGTTTAGAGTGTTTCAGTAAGAACACTGAATTGAGGAATATAATTTCTAAAATATGACAGTATCTTAGGACTTGAACTTGTACATGACAGTATGCCAAAAGAAAAAGGAATGCATCCTTTCTCCTCGCCACTCATTATCTAACCCCAGAACAGGAAGCACATTCTTCAGAAGTTTCTTCCACATGCTCAATCCCTTCCATGAACTGGCAGGCATAGTGAGAAAAGAAATAATTTGCTTGAAATTAAAAAAGAAACAAATTGTACACAGCAAATCTTGGCTATATTAAAAAAATACATTTGTTTGTGTGCATGGTATTGTGYAGCCAGTTCTACAGGGATATGAAAYAYTTTTTTAAGGAAAGAATACCCAGCCATGTGGGTATCAAAGTGATTATTTCAATTACAAAACTGATATTAGTTTCTGCTTGAAGACTTCTCTGATAGATCAACTCTCTAGGATATTTGTGTGTGTGTGTGTATGTGTGTGTGTGTGTGTGTAGGTGTGTATGTGTGTGTCTGTGTGTGTGTAGGTGTGTATGTGTGTGTGTGTGTGTGTGTGTGTGTGTGTGTGTGTGTGTGTGTTTGTCTCAGACAGGAAAACACTGTCCTATCAGAGATCATGCAGTGACTCACACAACAAATAATACTGTCACTGCTTAGAATCCTAGGAAAGCAGCCTGTTCAACTTGAACAACCAGTCCTACAACATCTGAAAAACCAACCAAAATAAACTCACAAAACCCCCAAACCTCCCTCTTTGGGCATCAAGGAACTTATACTTTGCTCCCCTCCTCACAGGTCTTTTTGACAACCCAGTCAGGTCCAGTTAAAGGGACATTGACATGACAGCAATAGCACCAGATAAGCTCTACTAGATATATTGTTCATCTTCTGTTTTGTGTTAATCACCTTACTGGTTTAGGCCTCAAGACAAAACACTGCCGAATTTCCACTCTGTTGGTGTTACTGATCTGGCACACTGCGGGTTCTTCAGACCCTTCTGGGTTACCAAAACTACAAGCACAGAGCGTGTTTCAAGAATATATTGTAGATAATTTACTTTTCCTTGCTTAGAACAGAAAAAGACAACAGTCTTCTGAAACAACAGTGAAGATGATGTTTGCAGCGAAAGTGCTGATAGAATAGCTTGGAGACACCTCCCTATCTAACTAACCWGTAAAGCCCCTTTTTCAAAAAGAGAAATTCAAGCACCTATGAGTTTTTTAGAGTCGTCTCAGAAGTATGAAAACTGAAACTGGGTATTTATATGTCTGATGGGGGAAGGTGCTCAAACTAAACTCTCAAAACATCAAGACGTCTGCGTTATGACCACAYAGTCACACACTCTGAGACCAAACACCTTTGCAAGAAGTCACGTGGATAATGCACCACAGAACGTTTAATTACTGTACTCACTACTCACTATTCACTGCATAAAAGTAAGAACTTTATTTCAGTTTTCCTCTTAAGAATTCTTTGGTTTAACTAGGTCCTTTCATGTCATAAATATGATTCAAGTTTCACACTACACGTTTGCTTACGGTGACAAGTGACTGAAAAGTCTTTTTGCGATTCTCTCTTAGCAGCACTGTGTCTGGTGTGGGTGAACCCAGGCCAAAGGAACCTCCATCACTAGAATGAAGCCTCGCCATCTACTGCCGTGTGACTTCTTTTGCCATCCCGAAGCTTTCCAGGACCTAGCAGCAGACCTTTCTGGGAGAGGGCATGGCTTCAGGGGCCGTAGAGGGACCAGTTCACGTTTTCGGTGAGAAGCCCTTCCCGCTCGGGCCCCAAGAGCCCCGCGGCCTGCAGAGGGGTGGCTGCTGAGGCGGGGACAAGCCCGCCTGTGTCCCCGGTTTCGGCCCGGCCTACCTTGCACCGGGCGCTCGTGTCGTACTTGTCGTTCTTGAAGGCGCGCGCGTTCTGGTGGCGCTGGGGCCGCGTGCGCGACACGTTCCCCCGCTCCGAGCTCATCGCCGCCGSCGCCGCGTGCCCCGGAACGGCTCCGCGCTGGGCGGGGCCGCCGCACCGAGCCCCATTGGCGCCGCGGCCCGCGGGCCCCG